TATAAATATAAATAAATAAATAAATAAATAGTTATTAATAAGAGAGAGGAGTTAGTCTTTCTATCTAGTGGTCCATTGGTCTGTCCATTGGCCACAAACTTTTACGGTGTACAGGCAGCTAGATCCTTTTCTTCCTTAAATATTCACAGCAGCAGCTGTTGCTGCTGCTGCAGTTGCTGCTGCTGCTGCAGCAACTGCAGCAGCTGCTGCATGCACGCAGGGTACAAAGATATGTAGCAGCTAAGGCTGTTATATATATATGTAATAAACAAAAAGAAAAAAGAAAAAAAAGATAATTAACTGTTTTAATTAAAATATAAATAAATAAATAAATAAATAAATAAATAAATAAATAAATAAACAAACAAAATAAATAAGTAGCATACCCTCGAGGTGCCTATACACCTGAATAGTGCAAATAGACTTTTTACCTCCTACATAATAATATTTATTGTATTTGTTTGTTATAATTACTAATAAATACTAATATATATATTATTATATACTAAGAATGCCTACAATATATTTATTTATTTATTTATTTATTTATTTATTTATACTTATAACAAAGGCTATTAATAATTAGCATAAGTTTCTCTAGTGTATGTACAGCTTAATTAAATAAAAGGAACAAGGAATTAAATAAAATAAAAAAGAAATAAAAAAGAAATAAAAAAGAAATAAAAAAGAAATAAAAAAGAAATAAAAAAGAAATAAAATAAAAAGAAAGAAACAAGTTAACAAATAAAAGAAATGCCTAAAGAATGGCAAAAACAAAGAAAAACATATAAATAAATAAATAAACAAATATAATTAATTAATTAATTAATTAATTAATTAATTAACGGATAAATAAATAAATATAAATATAAACAAGTAAATATAAATAAACAAATAGTTAATTGATTAGCGGAGAAGAGAGAAACAAATACAAGAAAAAAGAAAAGAAAAAAAATTATTTATAAAATAAATAAATAAATAATAAATAAATAATAATAATAATAAACAATAATAAACAATAATAATTATAAATAACAATAAATATAATTATTATTATTATTATTGATGTATTTATTTATTCAGTTTTTTTTTATTTGTTTTTTTCCTTTTTTCCTCTTATTGCAATAATAATAACAATAATTCTTTTTTCTTCTTTTTTCTTCTTCTTGCATTTTATACAAATAAATTATTTATTTATTTTTCTTCTTTTTTTCTTCTTTTTATATATATTATATATATAATATTAATAATTTATTTTCTCCTTTTTTCCTTTTTTCTTTTATTAGTTATCCTTTATTGCCTTATTATGTCTTATTATATTAATAATTTATTCTCCTTTTTTTCTTCCCTTATTGTTATAAATAATTCTTTTTTTTCTTCTTTATTTAACAATAAAAATTATTTTTTCTTCTTTTTTTTTTAATGGTATTCAATTGCATGCAATGAATTCTTTGTTCGTTTTTTTTTTCTTTTTATTTCTTCTTTATTTCTTTTTATTAATTAAATTAAATTAAATATAATGAATATTGTAATTTAACTTTCTGCAACATTTTTTTCTGCAAATCTTTGTCCAAGTCTAGAAGAAAATTGCATAAATTTTTGTACACAATTTTTTATGCATTTTTTTTCTGTTAAATCTAAATCTTTTGCCTTAAACTCACGAATACATTCATTAAAACATCTTTCTACTAAACTATTATACGTCTCCATGCTATCTTTTAGTTGTAATCTTTGTAGTTCTGCCATGACTGCTGCCTTCTCGGCAGCAGGTAGCTGCTCTAATCCGGGTAAGGTAGGAGGACCTCCTGGTGTAGCCATTTTACAGGGAAACTGATGACTTTTTCAACGATCTCACCGGGTAAATTATTATATTCACTATTTCCTTTCTGAATATACAAGAAAAATTGAGAAAAATGGACGTTTACACGGTGAATTACGCAAAAATAACACCCCTCCTTGCCCTCCTGTTATATGGCATACATACACCGTAAATAGAAGGAAGCCGGCGCCGATACTACAGCCAACCCATCAAGAGGGTAATCAGAAGAAACCTCAAAAAAAAAGATTTCTTTGATTATATTCTTGCAATTAAAACAATTTCCAACGGAAAAATACAACAAAATACAGCAAAAAATCTGCAGGAAACAACAACTTATACGACACCACGCCCGCCGCAGATACGGCGGACGGGGGGCCCCACGCAGCATCGGCTGTCATATTTGCTGCTTTCTTCCCTTCAATTAATTCAATAATTTCCTTTAATTTCTTTTTTTATTCTTTTTTTCTCATTTTAACTTTTTTTTATCACCTGCAGCGGTATCTACATCTCTCACAGACACAGAGGCAGTGCTGCTGCCTTTGGAGCTGTAATATAGCGCGTTTCTTGCGTCTTTTCTCTTCTGCCTTGGTGGCAACAATTGTTACTTATTTATTTTATATTATTAAAATTTGTTATTTTATTTTTCTCTCCTTTAATTAGGAGAGGAAAAACCATTTATCC